CCCCATGGGTCTGGAAATTTGGTTGCAGAAGAATGTCACCACTTCCCTACGGCCAAATTTCTGGACCCACAGGGAGCCCCAGACCCTGCCTACTGGATTGGGTGCCTGATCCAAGCATACAGGGTGGAGCTGGGGTGGCACTGGGCCCTAGGAACCAATTTTGGCATGTGGAGAGCTAGGAGGGGATGGTGCCAGGCCCCTGGGACCCACTTCTAGTTCACTGGGGCGGGAGAGGGTGGTGATTCCCCAGGGACCAGCCCAAGGGTGCTGGGATATGAGAGGGTGGTGCCAGGCCCCCCCAGAGACCAATCCTGGAGCATGGGGGTGGGAGAGGGTGGTGCTAAGCCCCAGGTTCCAATCCTGGCTTGCAGGGCTCAATCTGGGCCCATCTCACTCATCTGGGGCCAAACAGTTGAGCATCACTAATCTAGTCCAACCTCTGTCTAAGCCACCCCACACAAAAATAGTCTAAGCTATACTGAAAAACTTCTAATGATAGAAAACCCACAACCTCTATAAGTATTTTTTTCCAGTGCTTAGCTGCCCTTATAGTTGAAAAGTTTTTTTCTAATATCTAAATCAAGTATCTCTTGTTGACATTTAAGGCTATTACGTGTTGTTTTGTCTTCTGTAGATGCATAACAAGCGTTTACCATCCTCTTTATAACAATTCTTTATGGATGTGAAGACTTGCCAAACCTCTTCTCAATCCCTGCACTAAATATCACCAGTTCTTCTAATGTTTTCTCATGTAATGTTTTTGACAGCTTTAATAATTTGTGCTGCTCTCCTCTAGACTATAAAGTCTTTCCAATTTGTCAACATTTTTCTGGAAGTGTGGCTGCCTAGAACTGGATATAGTATTTCAGATCAAGTGAATGAATACAGTTTCCACTAACTTGCATATGACACTCCTGCTAATACAACTCAGCATGCTTTGCCTCTTCTTTTTTTTTAAAAATCAATATTATACTGTTGACTTATATTCATTTTGTGATCCTATTCTGCTGTACTGCAACCTAGTCAGTTATTCCCATTTTGTATACATGCATTTTATTGTCCCTTTCTATGCGTAATGCTTTGTGCTTGTCCTCATCAAATATCCAATTTGTTGTTTTAGAACAGGGGTTGGCAGCCCCCAGCAGGCATGCCAAAGCACAGCACATGATGCCACTTTGCTCAGCACACCACAGCTGGCCCAGGCTCTGGACAGCTGCCCCTGGCCACAGAGCCCGGGCTGCTCGCAGCAGGTGGCTGGGCAGCTGCAAGCAACCCAAGCTCTGTGGCCAACAGCAACTGCCCAGAGCTCAGGCTGGGTCTGTCAGGCATCTGGAAGGCTGCAAACAAACTGCACTGGTGTCTGGAGCCCCAGCACCAGCTCTGTGGCAGTGGCAGCTGCATGCATGCCTTGGGGGAATGGCAGGTAACAGACTGGGTTAGCCTGACCTTGGCCCCTCCCCCTGCTGCCCACCCATTGGCACATGTGCACCTACCATCAGGAATGAGGATCAGGCCCCTTGCAGCTCCCCACCATCTGCCCTTGGCATGCCAAGTCCAGGCATGGGTCAAGGTTGGGGTGTTTTTGGCACTCTTGACGAAAGTATTGCTGACCCATTTTAAAACATTTTCCCAGTTCATCAAGGTCATTTTTAATTGCAGTCCTTTCCACTATAGTCCTCTATAGTTTCAATTACCCCATTCAAGTTAGTGTCATCTGCAAATTTAATCAATTCACACTGCATCCTATTCTCCAACTTATTAGTGGAGATAATGACCAATATTGGAGGCAGAACAGGCTGCTGGGGAACCCCACTTGACACAGGTTTCCCTTGCTTTATGCGGGTTCTGTATGTGTGAATTCACTCTTATGCGATGACCCTTTTTATACCAAAAATTCATTACATGTGAGGTAAATTCACTCTTATGCAACCAGTGTGGTAGAAGCCTGCAGTCAGCTGCTTTGTGTGGTGCATTCTGAGAGTGATGCACAACAAAATATAGTTTCCCGTGTGGATCTGTGCTCTTCACTCATTGTCTGTGACATGTGTTTCTGTAGTTGCCATCTCCACTATAATAGAGCCCTGTGCTTGTGTGTTCTGTCTGTTGTTTGTGAGTGGCAAAATTGTCTTGTAAAAAAGTGGTGGAAATGGGTCTGGGTGTCAATACCGTTGAGGTCTTGGAACATATCCCCATTTATTACATTGTAAAGTGGGTTCCCTTTATGCAAATTAAAGTTATGCACCATTTTCCAGGAATGCATGTATAGCAAGGGAAACCTGTACCTCATCCTAGTCTGATATTGAGTCATTGATGACTGACTGGTCAATGAGAATAATTATGCAACTAGTTATATACCCACCTCAAAGTAGTTTCAATATTTGGAAAAACAGTGGCAAAAGTCCCACTCAAGCCAAGGTATATCATACACTTTTACTCTTCTCCCATTCATAAAACCTGATAATTAGTCACAGAAGGAATTCAGGTTGTTTAGGTATGGCTTACTCTTGATAATCCCATGGTGGCTGTTTCTTGCCACCTTGTAATCTCTAGATGCTTACAAAATTAATTATTTTGTGATATACTTCAGTATATTTTAAGACATTAGACTTGTCGATTTAATTCCTTGAACCCTTCTCTCTCCCCGCTTTTAAAAAGCGGATATTATATTTGCTTCCTCCCCCCGCCCCCCATCTCAGCTCAGCACCATGAGTTCTCATAGATAACAGCCAACAACTCTACAGTTAGGTAAGCCAATTCCTTGAGTATTCCAAAATAAATCTGATCAGGACCTGCAACAGAGCTAGAGAGACAGCTGTTTGCCAGATTCTTGAATCTCTTGATGCTATATAACTCCTTTATATCAGGAACTTTGGTACCAAAGGCAGGTAGCCAGCAGTATCAGTACTAGTATTGTCAATATCAAAGATGCCAGTACTAAGCTGCATTACTAGCATCAGACAATGCTTTATGGTCTGAGTAGACAGGTATCAACATTTTGTAACTGCTGCCCAAATGTTCCACAAGAACCCTTTTGGGTCTTGCCATACAATTTTCAGATGATTCTTTGGGGTATAATCCCTGAGGAGAGCTCTCTTTCATTTTCTAAGAGAAAAGAGATGTTTTACTGGGAATAGAGACGATGTTCTAATCTTACCACTAATGACTAACAAATATCTATTAACACTAACTATATATACAAAAATGATAAAAAGCTGTTTTATACTTGCAACGTGAAACTACAGCTGTTGAGAAGGAACTGTTGACCTTTATGTTAAGTAATGTAAGCCCTCTTTTGAGGAGGGAGATAATAGTGGCCTCTGTGTTCTGAGATGTGTTCCTCTGGCATCCTTTGCTGAGGTTCCCATCTGCAGATGTAATGAAGATCCAATGCCTTTTCACTTTTAATCTCTAAATTTGGATAAGACCTCCCTAATAAGCTGGCCATCTATTAGAAATGTTTAGGATTTTAAGATGTAGAATCCTAAATTGTAAGATGCTTATTTGTTTAGATCACACAAATATATCTATACGTATAAATATATACAGTGTTATTCTTTTTTTGGTACCAGTAGTCATAATCTGAGAATTCTAATAATCTACTTCTACATTCACTCCATTTGAGGATTTATTTTTCTGAGAACAGCGTCTGTCAAAGTAACCGCCAGACTCCTAAATTTCCTCCAGAGGTCAACAGAACTGAGGAGCAGATGGGGACATGACACTTTCTATGCTTTCTGTTACAGAAAGGAGGACATTCAAGATGCAGAAATTACTCCCTATGAGTGGAGCTAGCCAGAAAAATCTATGCAAGTATATAAAAAACTCTCACCAGAAGAATCCACGCAAGTGCACAAAACTCACACGCACCAATGGTGGAGTGCACATTGGCAAGTACTCAAAGAAAAACTATATTCCTGAATTCTAATTCCAGCCCAGGCACCAACTTGCTGTGTGGTTGTTTTTTCCCCCACTTCACACCTGTATCTTTGGTTGACTTTTAAAAATAATTAAGAATGTATTTCACAAGAATGTTGTTAGCCTAGCTAGGGCTGACTGGAATTTTTTCAGTGGAACATTTTTCTACTTGAAATTGCCATGCCATCAAAAACAAAATTTCCAAGAAAAAATATCTATTATTGAAACATGTCATTTAGGAAAATAACTGAAAAAAAGTCTGCAAAAGACAGAAGCGTTTCACTTCTAATATGATAATCTTGAAAAAACATTTTACAAGAAACTTTTAATTCATGTCAATATCAAAGCAAAATAATTGTTACAGCACAATTAAAAAAATTGAAATGTATTTTGTCAAATTAAATTAATCGGATTTTAGAATCGGAACATTTCCTAAAAATGAAAAAAACTGCAGTTTCCACACATCTTGCCAGAACTATGTTACATTAGCACGATATAATACGCTATATGTAATGAGTGCTAAGTAGCAGTCTTAGCTGTTCAAACTAAGCTTTCAATCTTAAATACTTACATTAATTTTAAAATTTTATAAATCAATGTAATGACATATTACTAGTACATATCAAGTAGAAAGCAATTTTCTCTGTTACTTACTAATGATTAAGTAAACACAATGGAATCTAATTGCACATTTCCATCTAAATTGCATTACATAAAGATACAGTTATAAAAAAAATAGCTACCTTATGCATACTGTCAAATTTCAGCAAAGAATTACTCACATCTTTAGCCTGTATACAGTCCAAGTAGGTTTAATTTACATTTGCTTTGGTTTAAGTATGTGATTACCAGATATAAATAAACATATGTAGGCATGACAGCATGTTTTTAAAATACATCATGTATTACAGTTCAAAATATGGAATTTCTGATCTGCACAAATATATATTATAGTTCACAAACACCATGTTACTCGAAAGTTGACAGTTATGCACCGTTTTGCCAAAGTTGTATATTCTACTATAGTTGTCTGCCATCAAAACGTGCAGTAAACAAAAAATTCTCTGCAATCACAAAGCTCTTACCAGTTTTCTCCGAAGTTCTGAGAAACACCATATCAGATGGGATTCGTTGATTCTGGAGGAAAAAGCATATTTTATGTGTTTGTAAATAAAAAATTCATTCCAATCAAATGTCCAGTAAGAACAGCAACTAAAGGTCACACATGGATTGAAACTCAATTAAAAGAGGATTTATCAAAGTACTTTACATTCAGCATTTGCAATTCAGAAATCAATATTTTAGAAAAATTATACAATAAGCAAACAACAGTTAAGCCTTTTAGATTCTCCCTGTAAGTGAATCATATAAATGCATGAAGAATTGAAACAAGGAGTATTTTCTTGATTTATTGTTTTCAGTCAGGAAAAAAATGAAATGTTAAACTAACTCAAAAGCAAGAAAAGAAAGAATGTTAGTAAGCCAAATCCTCACCCTTTACTTGCTTTGTGTAAGTACAGATAATAAATTGATTGGTGCAACTTAAAGTACCTGTCTTGGTATTTAGATGGCCCAGATCACTAATCATGCATTTTAAGTATTTATGGACTTCCCCCCCTCTAACTTTAGGATGCAGAGAAGTACTATTATTCATAATTTCGACATGCTGAATTTGTCTTCGCCCAAAAAGAAATGAAGAAAAAAGAAAAAGAAGATAAATTCTGTTCCAAACAGAGTAAGTTTTAATTAGGTCCTCAATATGAAGAAAGAACATTCTAAGCACTTTTTAAAAACCCTGTTATTACTTTCTATTACAAAGGGTAGTCCAACTACTGAAATATCCAGGTTCCACAAAAGATGTCCGTCTTCTGTAATGCAATTATGCATAGTCAATAATGAAAATCTGAAGCATAATGGAAAACTGGACTGAGAAAAGTAAAACTGATATGGAACACTGTGGCAGGGCACTGTGGGTGCCTGCCACTTCAAGGGCCAAGCCAAGCACTCAGCAGGTGCTTAATTGTGGCAGCCATTTCAGATCCGTGGCTGCCTATATAAACTGGGCATTTTGCTGCTGGCAGCAAGCAGTAACATTGCCTGGCTGCAAAGCTGCTTGGAATATCCTGGAGGTAAGGGAAGGAGCTGTAGGGGATGGCTTGGAGGCTCCTGGTCCTGGGCATAACCTAAAACTGCACCCTGCCGAGAGTGGGAGGCCTGGTGGGGCTCTCAGTGACGTGGGAGCCCTCAGGAAATGCCAGGCCATTTACTACCCTGGTGAAAGGTGAGTAAGGGCACCTTAACCCCAGCCCTCACCTTCAGGTGCGCCGGATTCCATTACCATCAGAGCAGGGTAGGCCAGGTAAGCTTCTGGAGGCACCTGAGCCTGCTGGGGGAGTGACCCCGCAGGGCCAGGCACGCTTCCAGGAGCACCTGAGCCAGGAATGGGAGCCAGGAATGGGATCCTTAAATGCAGGCAGGAAGCAAAAACCCCGCTGAGGTACTTGACTGGTCAATGCTGGGGCCAGGACCAAAGGGTCAAAAGAGCCAGGGGCCCACCCTGAGGGACACCCATGAACAGCGAGGAAGCTCGGGGTCCTGACTGGGCCTGAGATGGGGCCAGGGCTTACAGAAGCCGAAGGTCCTCACAGTTGGGGGCCACAGCTAATGGGCGAGGGCGACGGTTTAGCTAACTGCCTGAGATGCCATCTGTGAGGCTTAGGCCACGGTGTAGGGATGGAACGGAGCCACGGACAGCCCCCCCAATATCGGGGTGTAACAATGGGCAGCCTCCCGCCTTAACTAACAACATTATTAACTACCAACAAGGCGTGGCGGGCGAGACAGGCAGGCGGCATTCCCAGAGGCAGGTGGGAAGCTAGCCCTGTGGCTAGCCAGGGATACCCACTTCGCCACAAACACAAATACTACAAAAGATTTTAACTGGATAGTAAAGAAATTAAAAATTTAAGAAACGTTCAGGGTGAGGGAAAAAGAAGGAGTAATGAGGAGATGGGAACAGATGTAAATAGCAAGCCTGTACGAATAGGCAGCTATTCAATTTGGCTTTGGATCCAGCCGATTTGGATGCCAGCAATCCGATCCGGAGCTCCGGATCAGTTTTCCGCTTTGATTCAGCCGAATCAGCTCTGAAGCTTTGGAGCCACTTCAGAGCGCTGGCCATAGGGTATAATGGAGGATCAATGAAATAGCTATAACTTTGTTGTTTTTTGTCTGATTTGGACGAAACATACAGGGATGGGTGCCCCCACTGAGGCCACAAAGCCTGCCAAGTTTCAAGGTGATAGGTGCAGGGGTATGGGGGAAAACTGCACTTCAAGCTGCTGACAAGCAAAACTCATGACATAGATGATCCTGTGTGTGTTAAGGTGCAGCAGGGTGAAAACTGCAGGCCTGCTAGCCCATGTTGAGGCCACAAAGCCTGCCAGCTGTTAAGGAGATAGGTGCAGGGATCTGGGGCCCTGCACCCCTAGCTGCTGACAGACAAAACTCGTAACACAGGTGCTTTGTGCTGACAAAGTTATAGATATTTCATTGATTCCCCATTATACTCTATGGCCAAATGGGCTCCAAATCTTTTCCGAAGTGATTCAGAAAGCCTAAAGCTCCCAGCAATTCAATTCGGATTCATAGATTTGGCCTCCGAATTGTCTCTGAATCTGAATCATGATCTGAAGCTTTGGACAACCCTAGTAAATAGTTCCCTGCTGAATTTTTTAGGCCAGGGGTCAGCAACGTTTTTGGGCAGCGTGGCAAAAACACCAACAACCTCGACTTGTAAGATACTGACATGCCAAGGGCAGAGGGGCTGCAAGGGACCTGATCCTTGTTGTGGCAGCACAGCCCCAGCCTCTTCCCCACAATGTGACCCGAGGGGTACATGCCAAGCAAAATGCCTTTACGTGCCACACACTGACACCCATTCCAGGGTTTGCCTGCTTCTGTTTTAGGCTAATGTTCCATATAGCACACGTGGTCTTTAACATAAATCAGCACACACTAACCCCCATCCCTCCCCTTCAATAAAAACTCCCAAACAAAACAAGAAGCAAAACATCATCCAGAAGCTAACTTCAGCTGCTAAAGATACTTCTGTGGGCAATAGCTTCATTAATTTGGTGCATTAAAACAAATGTTTATTTCTACTATTGCAATTCATTTGCCACTCGTACACTATGTAGGACAGTGGTGCTCAACCTATCTAGCTCTATACACCAAATGAGTTGCATGGGGCTGGTCCATGGGCTGGATTCCACACAGGGTTGGCACAGGGAAAGTCCACAGGTGTAATCTGGCATCCAGAGCCAAGACAGCATGCTGGATCCAGCAGCAGAGTGACCTTAATTGTTGGCACAATCTAGTATATGGGGCTGTGTCATCTGGTCCGCAGGGCTCCCCGCAGGTCTGAAAATTTAGCAGTGGGGTGAGTGGTGGCAGTATTAATTGCTGCAGGGAGCCAGGGTAACTTATATTGCCATGGCTCCCCTGCCACCAAATTTTCAGACCCAGAAGGAGCCTCATGGACTAGATGACTATGGTTGCCAGATCCAGCCCACAGGTTGTAGGTTGAGCACCACTGATTGAGAGTATTACATTTTAATAAACGTACTACTTATATAGCAAGAACTCTCCATCTGCCTAACAAATTCATCAGTTTTTCCCTTTCCAGATTGCAACAAATCGACCTTCATGAGAGAGACCACATCAGCACACTATACACAAAAAAACCTTTGTTAAAAAAAAAAATTGGGGGAAATGAAAGGAGAAAGTAAACAGATAACACACTAGTCTTACTGTTGGATGCATGTCAGTCACAGGTACCTACCAGAGTAAGAAACTTAACATCTTCAATAGATATTTGCATTTTTTAAACTTCTGGGTGGAATTAGTCGTCATGTAAAGTATAAGAGTTAAAACACTGTCTTGTGCCAGGCAAAACACATAGTGTATCCACCAAGTTCTGCAATTCACACTTTATTCATGTTTCTATGCAAAATTAATTCAGTACCAAATCCAGTTCAGGCTCCGCTTTGCATAGAATCTTCCAACTTTGTGCCAAACTGAATACTAATTTTGGGCATAAATAAAACCAAGATGTGACAAAACTTCAAAACTGAGCTCAGCTTGCTAAAATACAGAAGGCTGGCACATCAACCTACCATGTAATCATCATTCTGCAATATCTTCAGTCCACTGCCTGGCAATTATTAAACATTTTTAGGTTATGCTGTAACTGGACCCCAATCTTGGTTGAGAGCTACCATGATACAAACAGTATCTTTAGAAGACATCTTTTATGTTTCAAATGTAAGTCTTACATGAATTTCAATATATTACAGTAGCAGAGTTTTGAATCCATGTATGTCCAAGCAATATTGTAAATTAAAGTTGTCAGCACAAACTGCCCTCCCCTGCCAAAACAAAACAAATCCCACAAACAAAATCCTTCCACAAAGTCTTCTTTTAGGGTCATCAGAATTAGAGAGAAGAATGTGTCCATGTTCATAGGCACGATATGATTCTTATCTCCATAGCCAGAGGTATAAAATTTCTATGATCTGGGAATCACCACCCATAATCTTTCTTGCTTCAGTCCATTTCTATTTCTAGTCTTTAATAGATAATGATGTACTCTTTAGTCACTGTGCATCATACAAAATCACAGGAACAACCACATTACTCACAACGCCAGATTAGCAGTAGGGCTATGCGAAGCTGCAGGTACTGATTTGATTCAGAGGAGATTTGGTCCTATTCAGTGGCCGAATCTCTGAATTTGAATGGAGTCAGGAGACCAGTTAAAAGGCCTGAAATCAATTTGAAGCTCTCCAAATCTGTTCGGAAAACATTTGGAGAGCTTCAGCAATTCGGGCAGTCCCCACTGGCTGCAGCAGGGAGCTAGACCTGGACTCCATACTGGTAAGTAGGGGAGGAAAGGGACCATGGGGGGACCCCTGCCAGGCCCCATCCCCTGCTTGCTCCCCCAGCCCTCCTGACCCCTGCCTGCTCTCCCAGCTCCACCCCCACCCATGGCTGCTCCGCCCAGCACC